AGTCAAGCACAACTAAACAAAATTCCAATTATTTGAAATTTTTGGAACAAAATGATTTGATTTTTTTTTTAAATTTGAGAGCACAAAGTGTCTCATGGTGTGTTTATACGGCCTAGCACAAGAGAATCCCCTGACCAAAACTCTGTACATCAAAGTGAGAATAAATGTAATTGCTCTTGTTGCGATCACAGCATATTCCTTAATACATGGAACAGCTGTACAAGATGAAGTAGTTTTAGTCAAATAGCTTTTGGGATACAGTCTTTCAAATAAAACCTGTCTGATTAAAATATCTAGGAGAGTCTGCATTATTGCGATTTGAAAGTTAAAAAAAAAAAAAAAAAAGATGTATTGTAGAGCGTTTCCTAAAAATAGCAAACAAAATTTAACTGATTGGAAGAACTACTGATCTATCCATATTCTGCTAGATATAAGTTACAATTCCTTCCTGGGGCTACTTCCCCCCCCCCCCTTAAAACAAGAAACAGTGCATGCACTGATAGATACAGAAACAATCTTTAAAGATGTTCCCCAGGCAGCAGATTTCTCTGTTATTTCTGAGCAAGTTCTGAGGTGCTGATCAAACCAATATAAAATTATATAACCAATAAACCAGACCTGACCAAATATCAGGTCTGACAGAGCGGGATAGTTTTACACTGCAAGATTACACCCTATTTCTAAACTTCACGGCACAAAATTCTATCTTCTTCAAATAGCATGATGAAGACAAGTGCAAGAGCAGTTACAGCTTCTAAAACACAGTCAACAGCACTTCTAAAACTAATGCAAATCACAGCAAGCAGCACAAAAGCCTAAGAAACAAGTAAAGACCAAACTGGAAACAGGAAAGGAAAGGAAAGGAAAGGAAGAATACAAAAAGCCAAAAGCAAATTTCACTATAATTATTTTCAGTCAGAAAGCTATTACGTTTTTTTTCCAGGACAAAAAGAAGGGAAAAACCCTACAAATATAGCTCTCCAATTTTGTCATGCATTGTTCATAATCTAATTCCTCATGTAGAACCTCAGGGCAGAATTTCTCTGTTATTCAGACAACACAAAAGGAGGTGCTATAAAATCCCCACAGTCTGTACTCATTGAGGGCACACACCTGCAATACAATAGACCTTTTATACCTTGCTGTTCAGAGGAAAACTCTGACTATGGGGGGAAAAAAAAAGTATTTTCTACAAATAAAGAGATTTTCATATGCAAGTGTATGAACTGCTGAATATCCTCAGTAGTCTCTACAACTCAGCTTTTCACAAAAGCTTAGCACTAAATAACACTAACCTAGAATGTACGATTCCCTGCTTAGTAAAATAACTTATTCAATGTTTATGCAAAAGAATCTATAAATATGCCCAAAAGACTGTTTAGGAACCAAGATTATCTCAGAAGTGAGATAAACAAGGTTTTTCACTATGGCCAAGATGATGCCAATCTATGTCAAAACCAGGAGATCCAAGTCACTGACTCACTAGCTACAACTTTATATAAACTCTACTTGCCTCTATTTATTTACTAATTACACTGAAAAGGTACCTGACAGCCGATTTTATGAACGTCTGTCACCAGTTATCCAATACAGCATGCGCTCGAGTGAGACTTGGCAGACAGAAGGCTCTGTCCAGAACCAAGCAGCATGTAAGCCTTGCCCACGCCTCTCTCACCTCCAACAGGAGATCTTCCAACTCCTACAGTTCTCCCTCTCTCCCAGGAAGTTCCCAGCTCAGAAGAGACTGGCTTGCCTGCGCTGGCCTGGCAGAGGCGGAGCCATCGTATTCCTCCTAACTAAGCAGGCCAAAGCAAAGTTAACTGGTATTACTGGTAAGCACTCCTATGGTAGGAAGGCTTGAACCTAACCAAAGCCTTCTTGCTTTTCTCTGTTCCCTTTGCTACCACTGCTTCTTCATTTCAGAGGCTCCTACCACCTCATTCCACATTAAGTTGCAGCAGGAAGAAGCTCTCCTGTGCCATACACTTGGGTTCTGTTTGCTACGCAAGCCAAGGAACTGCACGCTCTTTTTCCATTTACCTGTCCTCCAGTCTCTCTTCTTGGTCTCTGGGCTATGTGTTACCTCCTCTCCCTCCACGCAGAACTCTGCTTCTCCATTTTTTTTAAATCTCTGCCAAATGCCAAAGTTCTGTTCTCAACCATGCTTTATACAGAGATGTTCCCATATCAATGTTCATGTTTTGAACGACTTATCTCACAGATATTAACATTTCAGATTCTACTGAAAAGACGTGGAGGAAAAAAAAAAAAAAAAGGTTACGCTGATAGGCACTACCATCTGTTATGGCAAAGCTCTTCCGTCTACAAAGAATTAGAGCTCTAGTTATAGCAATTAACTTACCAGAGGCAAAGGAATCTAAGTTTCCTACTTCTACTTGCAGAGAAGTTTTAAAATCAGATTCAGTAAGACTTTTTCTCCCTAATACCTAGAAAATTCCTTGAAGTCTGGGACTGATTAACTGTTAACATCCAGAAATTACACACAGCAGAGAGCAGCAGCGTATCTAGCTGTGCATAGAACCTCATTTTATTTAGGCAATAAATGCTTCCACTGACAAAAAAAGTCTATGGGTAATTATCATAAAATTAGTGGATTTCACAATAACTTTCTTGGCAAAAATAAAAAGAGAGCGTTACGCTGGTGTAAAATGTCGCAACACTCCATTAATGGCTCTCTTCACTGATAGTAAATTGTGTGACTGAGGATAACATGGACTAAATGGATCCACACCTCAAATCAGCTCATCCACGATTATTAACTTGGCACAAAGACACACTGCTACAGGCATCTTGTTCCCTGCTCCACAGCAGCCTAGGAGGTGGAAACACAGGACTAGCTGTGCTGCAATTCACTGCTCGGTGAGGACATATACTCTTAACAGGCGAGAACGATAACCCAAGAAAATGTTTATATTCTTTCTTACAGCTACTACTGGTAAACGTAGGCATCTTTACACAGAGTTGAGCTTAAGAAACCAGGAGAGAGTTACAGCTCTGATACTACCGTATTACAGATCTAGCGAGGTAAAATAGCATTTTGTTCGCAAGTTTCGGCCCAGTGTGCTGAGATCATTTAAGTTGTCCTTCCTGCCACTTGGTAATTGGAATTTCGAAAGTTTGTCAAAAATTAATGATAGAATATGTAATATTTTTTAAAGTGAGTATGAATTATTTTGGAAAAATGGTAACTGAGATATAGTAAAGCAAAACAGGATTGAAAGGCTCTCCTGGGCAGCACAGGCAACTATATCGTGCATTCCTGTTCATGAATGTCATCAGTTTCAATGGCTAATACCTCTACTTTTCTGAAGTGACTATAAATGACTACAATGGTTAAATACTCAGATGCCGAATTGTAACACCTGTGTTAGAATATCCAGGATTAAGACAATCTGTGCACACACAGATACATTCTGCTTACTTAGCTAAGAAGGGTGTGTACAAATAATCTCATTGCAGAGTATTTACAGTGAATTGAAACAAATGACAGAAGATATCATTTGGAAATAACGTACTTATAGTAAAAGCATTGTTTTTGAGGTGAAAGAGGTGAAGTGACCCTCAGGAGAGCATCAAACATCTACTTTGCAGATTTTTTTTTTTTTTCCAGAACCTCAGAAAATTCAAGTTGCTTAAACTCAAAAGCATATGCTTTCCCTTCAACTACATTACATTCATTTCTGTATGGAGAGATGCTCTAAGAACCGCTTACATCAATCTGAAGAACGTCTAGCCATTCATTTCTTAGGATGATCTGTGTGCACTTTACAAACTGCCCTTTATAACATAACATTTTCAGAGTAACTAAGTATTCGGGAAGGCAAGAACTATTGTACCAAATACAGAGTTAGACTGCCCTCTGCTGACAAGTTTATGAATATGATGTTAAGTTTTCAATAACCATATTTGGTTATTCAGGAAAAACCTTCTACATAGGAAATTAATGTGGGCTTAGTGGTACCATAGTGATACACCCTACAGTTTGTAGAATACTTGTATGATACGCAAAAAATAGCAGGTTTCGTAGCTGTGGCTTTAGAAGCCTTAATGCCATCTTACTGACTCTTCAAATAGTAGCTAGCAAACATCCAGATAGAAGATAAACACATGATTTAAAACCACCAGACTAACTATCTGAACATACGACTATCTCTTTGCAAAGGCTGGATTGTTTAGAAAAATCAGAGTTAAGCAAAGCAGTGCAGAGAGGTGCTGCGGCCTTTTATAGCGCTCCAGCTTTGACCTTGCAGAGATTTATACACATCACCTATTCTACGAACAAAACACCCAAATGCTCAGGCCGAACTGTTCACTACTTACGAAGACTAATAAAACATACAAGATTCTAGCCCATCACCCAGACATGAGGTTTTTCAGGTAGACTGAAGCATGGCACTGCTACTGACTACAGATCACTGATATACAATTAAGATTGTGCTACTAGGCCAGCTAATGAACAAGCTTCACAATACAAGACTGAAAGGAATTATAAACTCCAGTCTTAGGTAAGTCTTACTCTCAGAAATAGTTCCATTTAAGTATATTTATTCCTCGCCCAATCTGGAACACAGAGTGGTCTCACCCTTCCCAATTCTGCAACGCATGTCTATGCTCTGCGGATGTGGCAAAGTTCTAGTGCTTGGAATGTTACTTTTATTAGAATTTTAATTATTTCCAGCTAGAAATATTTTTTGATGAAAGACAGCCTGGTATAGAAAGTTATACGATAGATAATGTAGAGAATCATAACCTACTATAAAACACTTATAAACCACGCTAAGATTTGTAGCATTGGAAGGGCAAAAATAGATAGATAAAAATAGCGTGTCAGGTAATTGAAAACCCATTATGCTATTTTCCTTTTCATGATTTAATCTGTCAAATTATTTAGTAAAAAATTGGAACAATTAAAGCAAACGTGAGGGAGTTAGGCAAGAATTAAAACCAGCAATTCACAGACCATAACATTTGCTTCATGATGCTATATTGCTAAAACTGCAGTTTCTACAGTTTCTATAAAAATAATAAAACTGAATATTTGCAAGCTTACCAAATGCACAGTGTAGAATCTAGAAATGAAAAAAGAAAAATTCAAATCACTAACATTTCAAATGCAGTAACTCCAAAATACATTTAGTTCTATCACAAGTGCTTAAGGTTCAATATTTATATTTCAAAAATTAAGCTTAATATTTAGCTTTGATGCTCTAGCTAAACAGGAGACAGTAAGCTTATTGACCGCTAAAAGGAAATACCTCAAACAGATACTGAAATTACTTCTTAAGTTACGTTCACCTTCAAACCACTCTATAATGCTAATGAAGAAATAGATACCTAGAAAGTATTGTTCAATAAAGGCTGCCTCGTTTCTTCTGAGCAAAACACTCACGCAAATAATAGTAACACTGGGGAGGAAGACTACACCTACCTCAAGCAAAGCTCCAGTCTGGAAGAATTTCAGGGGCTTTTCTATTGAATAGTAAAGACTATGGTAGCTACCTTTAGCCAGGTAAGCTCGAACTAGACCAACTGCAATTACAAGCCATCTGAAAGGAGACAGAAAAAAAAGTTTGAAATAAGGAGATATTAAGTAGAGCATGCATACAATCTCTCATCCTTAATAGCTATTTTGTTATGCCATAAGGCAACAGGCATATAACGACCTGAATATTAACTTTCTGCCTACCCTCTGCAACATGGAAAACATTTAAGTATATCCAGATTCTCTGCAAATCTATCACAATTAAATATGACGCATTTTTAAAAAGTACCTTACAGCACCATCACGATACCAGTATCTTTAATATCTAAACTTATTTTTCTGTTGAGCTATATTTAATTTAATTATGGAAAGTATTCACGACATTTAAAATAAGATTGGCGTCACATCTTGTTTAGCTTAAACAGCAAACCACATACTGCTAGTCAGAGACTTTTAAAATGATATATCAATCATGACATAGACAAGGTTCAGAAGGCATCTGTTTTAGCGGTTCATATACACCATCCAGCTTAATTTCTAGGATACGTTTTATGAGAAAAAGTTAAAGTAACTACAAGAAAACAGCCTACTAACTAAAGCCTCGAGGGCAGTGGTGGCTGTTCCTGTCTCAGCTTTTCTTTTTAAACAACAAATAAACTAGGCCTATGTAACAAAGGCCTATATAACTATTTGTTGCATTTAATCTTAAAAAAAAAAAAAAAAAAAAAAAAAAAAATTCAAAAAACACTGCTAAGAACTGATGATACACATAAACACAAAGAAAAGTATTTTACAGCAAACGAAGCTAGGTTAATCACAAGGAAAGTAAGTATGGAGACGTATTGTGCTTTTGGGACAGTTTACAGACAAAGACAAACAAATTCATGAACAAATTCTGAACAAATTCATTCAGAATAAGCTCAAAGAAACCAATGACCGTGCCCACCTCAGCCTGTAAGCAGACGTTCAGATGGAAGAGCGAGAGGAGCATTCACGCGGCTCCCCCTTCTCTAGCAGGGCCTACAGAGAGCTTTCTGTAACCAAAGTTACCCGAGTTCCCCCAGATAAACAACACAACCTGCTAACCTTGCCGATTTTCCCCTCAGCAGTTGAGGGAGCACAGCTTCCAGTTGCGGCAGAGGCAGGAACGTCTAGCAGAGCTGTCCAGAGCTGGTGTTTGCCCACGGTTTCAGAACTTCGACCGTGAAGGCCAGGGCGAGCCACACAACTAAGGCGGCTATACCCTGGTCAAACACCTTTTCAGCTGAAATCAGCATATATAGTTAACTTTAGTTTTCGACTGCTTGTTGCAAGCATTAGGAGAAGGAATTCGTCGATGCAAACTGGGATGCCTTTTCAGTGACTCTCACGCTTTTCACTGACAGGATCTTCCTGTGCCGCCTTCCCCTCAGCTACTCTTAATGCCCTACTTGATCTCTACCTCCCTCTAAATCCCGAAGCGCTGTTACAGAGCTCGTGCTAACAGTCCCCGGGTATCTCCGCTAACAACGGCGCACCTCGCTGCATGTGTGCCTAGAGTCCTCTAAGTACACAACAGCTTTTTACCCTTTGAGAAAAACTGCAGCTGTGCTTTTTGTAAGGGAATTTCTTCATCTTCCCTGTTACCTTACAGCATATTAGGTGCTTACAAGTACATCACTTGAGGTATTATGAACTATATAAAAGTATTTCCATATGGTAAATATAACACTTAGTTGTTTGAAATTTGCTGTAGAATGCAGATTTTTTTCAATAATAAGTAATTCTGGTGTCCAGGTTTGTGTTTATAAAAACATCTGTTGGTACAACTGAAAAAAAAGCTATTTCATTTCTGCCTGGAGTTCCCAAAAGACAAGCACCAAGCCTTCCAGAGACAAGCAGTAGGAGCGAGGAAGAGAGATGGGGGGGGAGGGAGGGAGAAAGCCCTCCCTTTGTTCAGTGGCGACAAGTCATTACTTCTGTTAAAGCTGTCTTACAAAACCAAAAGACCGACAACTGCAGAATAAACCAGGTGGCACAATAGTTAACAAAGACTGTCCTTTGCAACAGTGAATAATTCTCTTCTCCAACAGCTGACAGCAAGTCAGTTTCTGCTTTTTCTCATCTTCCATGTTTGCCGAGAAATTTCTCAGGCTGCAGAAGAGAAGAGTTCTTCATTGTGCCTGCGGCAGGCTGTTTTCACCTTAACTGAAACTCAACTGGTCAACGGCTCTCAAGGCTGCTCCAGCCTCGTGCTTGTGGTCTTCCATCCTCTCTGCTGGAGAGCTAACTTCTGGAAGTCTGTACCGCTTCTTCTCAAATACCACAGCTTTCTTTTAATAATACAACTACCATCCTTCAAAGGGCATTTAATACTGACCAAAGTATTAATTTAAAAATTAAAGTTAAAAGCTGTGGCTACTCAGTTTTGAAGCTTTTAGTACTTCTGCCCTGCTTCTGTGACTCAGAGTGAGAAAAATCGTTTGACTAGAGAAAATGGACAGGGAGAGGTAGGTGAGTGCAAGAAAGATCACCTGGAAAAGAAACTTGATCAGAAGATGAAAAGGACAGGAAGAGGCACTACTGTCACAAGGAGGCTAAGTATGAAGTTAACCTTTCCAGCTTCTCCTGCACTACACACTAAAAAGATCTACTTAATATATTATATGGAGCTATGCTTCACTAAAGCACAGCCATTCTTGTAAACTCTTAGCTAGAATGTTATATTCGCCGATTAATATATACTAAGGAAAACTAAATATTGCATATACGCAAGTTTTTTTTAAGTATAAGTTGCTCAGACTTGACAGTACTTCTTGCATAGGTCCCCTTGTTTCTCTTTACAAATTAAAAAAAGAAAGTTTTGGGCCAAGTTTACTGAGGTTCCGCTTGGTTTATGTAAAGAGAGAACAGAGCAAAACTACAGCATGAACGAGCCTGAAGAAGGGGGAAGTGTACTTTGATTCTCAGCAACCAGTTATTGAAGATACGGACCCTGAAGATCATAACCCTGAACGCTATTCGCTCAGCACAAGTTACATGAGTCCTCGGCAAACTCAAAAGCTATTACATTAAAAAGATAAATCTTATTGAGTGAAATCATTTTGAAATTCACTGTTTATACCACCATCAGCTACTTCTACCCAAATAGTAATTATGGCACTTTATTAAAAATAGGAGACACGGTCATATTTTAAATCAGCTTATCACCATCCCAAACATTTATACTCAGCTCTAACTAACAGCAAGCGTGTTGTGTCCCGTTCCCCCTTGCCCCCATCATTCAGTGATTTCAGTCAAACACGTTTTTTGGAGAACAATTTCTACACCGCACCATGCCTCAGGAATAAGCTTCATATGCCGGCATACTACACTACTTGACACCATAACCAGAACATACCAATCTGAATACAAGAGAAGAAAGTTTTGCAAAGTTAAAACAATTAAACCCAGATTTTCACCTGTCACTTGATCCATTTTAAACACAGCTATGTCAACTAAGTTTTTAAAACATTTATTTATTATTGAATGACTACAGCTGGTGTGTGCTCAAGTTTAATAAAAGCCTTTCCCTAAATTACAGTAACCCCCCTCCTCAAAAACAAAGAACGTCTCCCTCCCACCCTCTAAAAACCTTTTTGCTTTTATGGCACCAGCACATCATCTGGGCACCTTAGTCTTTGGTGTTCTCAATTCACAGTCCTCTTCACAAGGCAGTACTACCAAATGCCTTTTTCAGAAAGAAAATTAAGTTGAGCACACTCTGACTGACATGAGGATAATGAATAATTATTGCCATCAGCTGCATATCATTATCACATGAACAAGTGATTTTCTGTTAATCAGCTCCTGAAAAAACTACTTTATTATGAAATATTTTTAGAAGTAAGCAATAACCAGTTGAGTACTTCTTTAACCTTTCCATTTCTCCTTCAACCTCTAACACAGATTTTTGAGATCTTTTATAAATGTAAGTGAATTAAACATCAGCAGCTTAATAAGTCAGTGCTTTTACTTGGAAGAGCTCGGAGAAGTTAACTTGGTAACATTGAGCTGGGACATGATAACAAACTGAAAAGAAAAGAGCTCCTGACCGACGGTATTGTGTTTTACTGTTCATGTAATTAAACATTTCTCAAACAAAAGATTAAATTGTATCAAACGGTTGGGTAATTGCCATTCCACTCTATAAGCAAAATATCCTGCAAATATCATATGGAGTCATAAATCCTCTCCACAGCTCCATTTCACAATAATCCACTTATTGTGCAAAAGGTGTAGCAAGCACCTTGAACGAGCTGAGCTCTCCCCTGTGAATCACCTTTGTTCCTCCTAAGCGTAACCACAGTATAAGCTAAAATAACAGCAGCTCTGTCACTAATGAAGATGAGAATCATCTTGTCCAACTGCCTCACTGAAAGAAATGTTATCTATACTAACTCTACATCAATCTCCCCTCGAAGAAGCGAGTCTAGTCTGTCTGCCCGACTCCCCACCCACCACGATTTATCTAGAAGAAAACGGGCTCATTCAGGATCCATTTTAAGGCTCTTTTCTCCTCAGCTTGGCTTTTCTAAACTACTACTACGGATAAATTCAGCATGTTTAGCTTGGTTTCTCTACCAAAAGGTGCTGCAGCCCGCACAACACAGCCGAGAACAACGATTTACGCAGTTGCCTAGGTGAGAAAATAACCGCAGAGTAAGTTAAGGTAGGGCGTGTAAAGCACGGCGCCAACTCTGCGCTAGCTCTTCTAGGTGGACACACTCGTCCAAGCCAAGAACAGGCGTTTGTGCAGCTCAGGCTGATTCCTCGGAGCCGGCAGAGGAGAGGCAGCGCAGAGGAGCCAGGGCAGAGGGAGCACCAGGGAGGAGCCCTCACCCCTTTTCGGTGCTAGGCTTCTTACTATAACCTATGAAGGAGAGAACTGAAGAAGGAAACGAAACAGTTTCACATCCGTTTACAAGGAACTCCTCTCCAGCATGAGGAGCGGTGAGGGACATTTGTATTCCTTCCCCTGCACCACCCGGACACTTCGGGACGCGACCCCCGATAAACAAGGGGGTCAGCCGGAAAGGTGACGGATCTCCGTGGCACGTTCAGGCCAGTCAACGCGGCGCACGGCGCGTTCCCTTGAGAGAGGGACGGGGCAAGACGAGAGGGAGGGACGCAGCGACGGGGAAGACCCAGCTAGATCACCCGCTCCCGCTCCGAGGCGGCGCGCAGCGGC